GAGAAGGTTAACCAGCATGAACCTCAGTGTACTGCATGTCAGTGGCTCCTATCAGCATGTCCCGGCTCTCCCCTTCAACACTCACTGTGCATGCTGGAAATCAGATGTTTAAAGCTTTTCTTCAGGGGCCGGGGAGATAGCTCAGTGGAGTAAGTGCTTGCCTGGCAAGCCCAAGGTCCTGAGTTCAATCCCTGGTACCACCAAGACAGACAGACAGAGAGAGAGAGAGAGAGAGAGAGAGAGAGAGAAAGAAAACCTTAAACCCTTTCTTCATATGGGCTGCAGAGACACAAGGTAGCAGAGGAACTAGCTGATGTCACCTGCACCCACTTCGCACAGGGCCGGCAGGCCGTGACCAGGTCTGGATCTCTAAGGCAAGATGAGGCTTGCAGTGGTCACTGGCTTTGGCTGCTGCACTCAAAGACCAGTGCCTCCTGGCACTTGGGAGCCATGTACCTATCAGAACAGGGCACAGCATGCTACCCAAAGTTAACTATGGCAGACTCTGGTTAAGGCTATCTAAACAATGACCCACATAAGGGACTGACAAACTAGGAACTCACCAGCCAAAGCCAGCCCATTGTCCACTTCCAATTTTACTGGAACAGACACACTTCTTTCTAAATGACTGCCTTTGGGATGTTTTTGTATTACAAGGGCAGAAGTGAAGAATTCTAAGACAATAGGGCTGCCCAAACCAAAAATATTTACTGCTTAGCCTTTACTAGGGAGTCTGGACTGCTGTGTGAGACAGGAGGATGGTAAGGGCATACCCTGGACAGCACACTGAAGGGGGCAAGATTTCACTAGGGACACTCTATAAAGATTCAAGGACCAAGTAGGAAGTGATGCAGTCAGGTGATGCAAGGACTGCAATCCGGAGGAAGAAGGACTAAAAAGAGTTGAAGGGTTCTTTACTTGGAAAAGTCCAAAACTTCCGGTCAGGTGTCTGCCAAGGAAGGAAGAAACTGTGGACCTGGAGCTCCCTCATCCAGTCTTAGCATACTCTACCATGAGCTATCAGGATTCCATCCTGCTCCAGTCAGTTTGCAGCTTTACTCTTCTGAGGGCAGAAAGGAGGACTCACTGACCCTCTTGCTCAGAAGCAACCTCAGTCCCTTGGCTCACGCCTGGCAGACATAAGGACAAGGAGATACTGGTTCAGAGTCAAAATTTCTATCAGGCATGTGACTTTGGGGTACAACTATGACACTTGCCCCTGAGGAGTGCTCAAGTTAATATGGGACAGAATATATTAGATTTAAAGATGACATCTATTAACCAAAGCACTAGGTGTGTTAGGGCCAAACAAGGGATGCAGAATGCTGCCCAGCGAAGCCATCCAAGCTAAGGGGGCCACCTGCAGGAAGGGGCATTTAGCAGGGCTCTGAAGAAAGGATGTAAATCCACTTGCCTGGAGCACATGGCCATTTCAATAATGTTCCAGGAAGAGGACAGGAATCTCGACCTCCTTCCCCATCTGCTGAAAAGGTGACACGCTGATTTCAAGGCTCAGAAAGATGACTAGAGGGCAGGTGTTTTTACAGGCTCCCCACAGGACTCCATGGTACAGCCAGATAGAGAAGCACTGGTTCACATGGGCTGAAATTTACATACCAGATTCTTTAGCAGAAAAGATCACTCAAGACATGGGGGTCCCAAAGACTGTTTTCAGACAGTAAGTCTAACTGAAATACAGACATTCTTTTTCATCCAGGGGCCACATTTTAATTCACAAATTAACTCAGTGGAAGAGAAAAATGTGAATGAAGAAGTCATGAAGCAACTGTTCCTCAGATGACATCACAAGCCTCTCCAGGGAACATGGGCCATCTTGAAGTAGGCAAGGGGAACCCAATGAACTCTAGATTCAAAATAATAAGGATCCCCTGCAACACAGCGGCATCAAGTGGAAGGGAGGGATGAACAGCAACAGGGCTGATGTCTCAGGCTGGTGTGCCGGGCCTCGGGCTTCTCAAGGATAACGACAACTTCTACCTCCCTAGTGAAATCAGTTGGAATACTCGTTCTCGGAATCCCTGAACTCCTCACCATCTCTAAGTCAGAAACAAGCCCAGGGACACCGGCAGGGTCCTCAGGAAGCACTCCATGCTGGTGGTAAGCACTCCGAGCTCAGCAGAGCATCTTAACCCGAGTTCCGGCATTCTCCCCGCTTGCAATCATGCCAAGTCCTGCACTCTAAAATCACCAGTGAGCCAGACCTAGAAAAGCCCATCTGGAGCCACTGAGGCTCTGTCTCAAACATTCTGTTGTTCTGATGAGATCAGATCTGAGGGATAAGAACAAAGAACTCTCCTTCCAAATGGGCAATAGCAGGGAATCCCACACTGTGCCCTTGTAACTGAGTGTTAAGAGGAGACAGACAAAACAAATGTTAGCAGATGCCTCTTGCTTACCCTGAGACAGAATTTTTGGAGGAGGGCAAGCTGTGAAACTAGTAATTTTGCAAGTTGAAAGGCAAGTGATCTTAGATCCATTAGGAGGCAGATTGGTAAATGAACAGAAAAAGGAAGAAATCACACTGAGAATGCCTCAAAATTTTGTTAGAAGTAACACAATGTCTTACAGTTCCACGTGTGGGCATTACAGCTCTGAGCAGTCCAAGACTCAGGGGGGAGGCAGGTGTACCCCAGGAGTGCTGAGAAGCACTGGTCCAAGAGAGCTGGTGGCCTGGACTTCGCCTTCTCTGTTCAATGAAGGTGGTGTCTAACAGTCTCTGAAATTTGAAGTTTGTCTGCTCATAGGTCCGTCTTCTCCACTGACTTCATGACAATTCTTACTCTTCCTAGATCTCACAGCCAAGACCCAAGTGACAGGTGTATAAAACGCTCAGGCTGCTAAGGGCAGGAACAACTGTTACAACACATGCAAACACCATGTCTGAAATAGAACACCAAGACACTTACCTCAAAAAACAAACCCCAACCACCCTGGAAAGACAATGAACACTGAATCCATCATCTAGCTTGCCACCTTTTCTAATGCTGAGCAGCTCTAAAGAGTATGCGAAACCGTAAGACTATGTATTCTATCTGCAAAACAGTAACAGAACAGAAATAGCAACATTCTAGAATGATGAGAGAAAATTAATCCCAAACCAAAGACATAGTTTGAAAAGATCAAGAGTCTAAAGGCAAAATCTTGGAGTACATTTTAAAATACTACAGATTTTCCATATTTCTCCTCTTTTAAAATAATGTTTAAAAAGCTGCAAATAATAATATATACTCTTTAACTCACTGTTTGACTTTTAAAGACAAAAAATATTTACCAAACTGAACATAATGTAAGGGTAGCAGAGCTGCAATTCAAGAGTAAGCTTGTAATTAAACAAACACCAAGAAAACCCTTTCACTTTCCCCAAGGCAGGGAGTAACACAAATTAAGAGAATTTTTTCTTTTTTTAAAAAAATTTATGTATTTGGTACAGGGTCTCACTATGAAGCTTAGATTCGTAGTGATCCTCCTATCTCAGCCTCTCCAGCACTGGAATTACAGGCATGCGCCACCACGCCTGGTCTCCGTGGCTGGCATGGCATGTGGCGCTGGGGCTCAAAGCCCGGTCCTGCGTGCTTACCTAAGCAGGCACTTAGTCTGCTGAGCTATCTCACTAGCCCTAAGAGAATTCTTGAAAAAGTAGCAGAGAAGTGGTCCAGAGTGCTGAACCAGATGTGACACCAGAGAAACAACCACTCAAGTACACAAGTGGCATTTTGTGATCAAATTTATTTTTGTTTAGATTTCATTTACTTTGTTTTACTGTAATTTACACGAGAGACTGCCAAGTCGACTAGGTATTTTACATTCACCACACATCCCCTCAAATCTCCACAGTTGTTAGAAAAACATTAAAATCCATGTGCTGGGCTCTCATTCCATGTGTGCCCAAGCTCCCCGTGAGACTACAGATGCCAGTGAGACTTAAGTTCATTGAATGGAGAGGGCCAGACTCTTTAATCCATTTTTAGTATCATTTAGCAATGATATGCCTTGCACCACTTGGCAAAATGACTATGCTTTGACAAAACCTATCTTACGACAGCGCCCAGAGCGTAAACATCAGTCTTTATCCTGAGTACACAGAGGACACAGAAGATGAGGGATGCGCTGCGGAGGACAGCAGCATGCCACAGTGCAGCAGTGATCCTAAACGCCACCGTGCCACTTGTCGCCGTCCCTCCAGTGGGGACACAGGACATGTGGGGAGATGCAGAGCAACGAGGGCAGGACTGTCAGCAAATCAGATTACTAATGTGATTAGACTGCAGGGTTTGGCCTGTTTTAGAAAGGACGGGAAGTTAAAGAAGACAGTTTGTGACCTGAAGGCTTCAACAAAATCATTCTACTCGAGCTTCCAGGACTGACAGGAGAAAAACTACATGCAGACAAAGAAAGCTGATAAAAATTGTACCTACCTATTGTTCTTTCTTTTAAAAAAAATAGGTGACAGCAACTGCTAAGGAGCATTTTCATGACACCTAGGCAGGACGTATTCTCTGACATCCTACTGAAAAGCCCACAGAAGCCAGAAGGCCCCGCGTGGGCTCCTACAGTGTGCAGCCAAGGCCTGTGCTGCACCTCATGCTATTCCTTGCCCCGAGTCAGTGTCTCCCCCTTCGAGTGTTCTGCAGCACGAGAAGAACGAAATGTCACTACTATATCCTATTCTGTGAGCTACTAGGGATCTAGACCATCTGTATAGTTTCTATGCTGTTAACTGTAGAAAACAGTCATTTCTGAAATGCTGTATCTCCCATTCTCCCACATGGCCTACAATACCCTTAAGATTAACATCTTTGTCGAACAAAAGCTTGGAAATTTTCTAGTGTTTATTATAAATCACAAACCGTCTTCTCCATCTTTGCTAGATTTGATGTAGAAAAATACTTGAAATTTAAAATACAAAAATCCAATAGAAATCAGAAAATTTTTCTAAAAGGATTTTTTCCCTCAGGATAAAGTAGTAAAAACCAGCCTGTAACTTTGCTCTTAACTGATATTGTCAAATTTGGCTGGACGATAATGACCATCCAGAAATAAATAGCTATAAATACATTCAGAGTTTACATTCCAGATTCATTGGAATACCAAAAAATTTTGAAGAAATCTTTCTGTGGGAGTTTGTTGTTTATGGGACTAAAACAAAAATTTGTAAGAGACTGATTTAAAAGAACAGAGGAATAACAAAATGTTTCTATATATATATATATATATATATATATATATATCCACAAGACATTTATGAAACATACCAGCTAGTATCACATTGCAATCTGTCCATTAATGGTATTACTCTGATAATTATTAAAATCTGTTCCAGGTATATATATTGAAAATATTTTCTTTTGCATTCTTGCTCAAGATAGGTACAGTACTTTGGAGAAATTGTACTAATCCCTCAGTAAGTCTGTATGTACATATATACACACGTGTGTATCTGGATCTGTAGCTCTACATGCTTTCTATATACAGCTACAAACACACACACGTACACACACGCACACACGCACGCACGCACACACACACGCACGCGCCTGGGAACCTGTGCACGTGTGTATGTCATTATAAGCACACGTCGGAAACATCAACACTGCAAGATCCTGGTCAGATTCTTCTTCACTCGTCATTGGCTGCACTTGTTCCCCTCACTTGACCTTGATTACGTAACTGTAAAAAAGTCAAAGTGCATAGTGTGTTAAAATACAGACAAAAATGTTAAGACAGCAGCTTATCATTCACATTCTCTAGGAAAAAAACCTTGATGTGGCAAAACTTCTGGCAAAAACTGTATCCCAACTACTGAACCTTCACAGTTTAGTCTCCTTGGTCTAATAGCACAACATTTTGCTTCGTCAGAGGGAAAAATAAATTATAAGCAAAAATAAAACATAAAAACTTATAACAATAAAAACAACAAGTAAAAAAATGTTAAATGAACACTAAGTAAGCTTTGGAGAAATCTTGGAAGTTAGTTCGACTGCAAACTGAACCCCTGGTTTACTCACATCAACCACCACAGAGCAGGTAGCTCATGGAAGGGGGCAGCAGAGACACAGCCTGGAGCACTGCGAGCTGCGCTGTCTCTTAATGGACGGCATGTCAGTGTTTACAGGTAAGGGCTGTGTGAGGTACACGTCTGTTTACCCACACAGGTTTTAATACGTGGGGTAGACTTTTTTCCCATCTATAGGGATCTGTTAATTGGGCATGTGTGTGTTAAAAGTCAATTTCTCAAATATGTATCATTAAGTTCTAAAAATAAAACCTTGCTTAACACTTACACCCTCTGTGCTCAGCACATTAACTCCCCATCACCAAAAAGGTACAGGTTTTTAAACATTCTTTATACCCAGATCTTCACTTACACAGTTTGATATTTTCTCTGACCCTACAGGGGACTCATCTAGGCATCAGCAGCCGAAGTGCCTCGGACGGAACCCTTCTTACGCATCTAAATGTAAAATAAAATCATGAGCTGCCAAAATCACACTCTTAAGTAGGAGTTAACAAAGCAAGGGGAGAAAAGAGACCCAGCAGAAATTATGAGGTGATGGCTGCCTATGTAAAACCAGATCCACATGAAGAATTCAGTGGAGGCCCCTCTGATAATCTGAGCTTATAATCTTGCAAAGTTCCTTCCTTCTTACACACTACAAAAAAATACACATAAATTTTGGCACCTAAGAAATATCTATGGGTTGATATGAAATTAGCAAAGTCAGCAGTGGATAAAAGAACTGTTTGCTAATACAACATCAAAGAAATGCCCAAAGGTCTGGAACATAGCTTCACAGTTCCTAACCAGGCAGGAGGTCATACGGGGTGGTTACTTCTGCTCCACATCTCGCAGAGACCATTAAAGGAAGGTTACAGAAGAAAAAGACAGAAAGAAAGAAGCAAGCAAAGGAATAATATGCAGCAAACACGAAGAATGAAATGGTGCAAGGAAAGGCCACGCATTTCTAACAGTTTACAGAGAAGTAAAGAATATTCAATGGGAAAATCAAGACAGACAGAAGACATATATGCAATGAACACTTCTTTAACCACCCCTGTCCCTTCTACCTGGGACACTGCCAACAGAGTAATAATGCCACCAACCCATTCAGCAGCCAGGTATGTATAACACTAGCAGATCTCTTATCGAACCACAGGCAAGGATGCTCCTCTTGGGCATAACCTCTCCAAATACTAGGCCTTCTTCCCAGAGCGTGACCATTTGAGAAAAAGAAAGCCAATTCTTTTTTTTTTTTTTTTGAAACAGGGTCTCACTATGTAGTTAAGCTGCCCTTGTACTCACTATGTAGCACCAGTTAGCCTCAAACTTGCAGCCAACCCTCCTGCCTCAGTGCTGGGATTACAGGTCTGTGCCACCCCACCCAGCAACGAGAAAGACAATTCTTAAAATATGTACGAAAAAAAAATATGTACGAACTAAAAGCATCAACTGAGTCAAACTCTTGCAGCAGGTATAGGGAAGCAAGACCTCAAGACCAAGTTCCTGATGGGGTAGGAGTTAAGGCATTAGATCCCTTCAGGAGGTGGGTATTTCCAGCAATGTTCCTGGCTGCATTCTGAGGATGCTCTAAGCAGCGGCAATGCCTGACAAACAGAGCACTCCCCAAAGACTTCAGTAGGGTTCAAGATTAAGATGATCAGCATCCAACGCTGGAAGCTGTGATAAAATGTTTTTGACATATTTAACAATGAAACTGCTATGCCCTGCCCTCAGCCCCCAACAGAATTATACCAATTTTATGAAGGATTTAGTCAGTTTGGGCCACGAGAGCCATGACACAAATAAGTGGGGTTTTTAAGTTCTGGGTAATTTCCTGTCTCTCTTATACCTTCTTCTCAAGCACAGGTTCCAGTTCACCGCTGACTCATATGAGAAGGAGCTGAGTCTGCAGGCTCACTGCCACAAGTGGGAGCATGCAGGGCCACCACCTGCATGTGTGGATGTGTGGTAGGGTTCCTTACTGTGCTTACACTGGGATCACTGTGTTCCCAGGAACCTCCTCGCTGGGAACTTCAGAGAACACTGAGGGCAGGGAAAGAACAGCTATCAGCAAAGTTCTACCCAAGGGGCCGATAGAGACACACCAAAGAAAGCTATACGCAAGGTGAATGGTCAAGGTAAAGGCTCTATGTGACAGTTTCTTGGTGGAAAAAAAAAAAAAAAAAAAAGGTGAAGGGTTCTTTCTGATGGTTTGGACCAACCAAAACAAATTTGATTTCTATTTCCTCTTAGTGTTGACAAAGCCTTGCAGAAAACAGCAGTGCTATGCCATGAGCTTAGTGAGGATGTGGGTAACAAGGCAGCTACTCCTGTGCAGTGAACACCAGCTGCTTTGAGGGAGGAAACCATGCAAGGCAGGAGAAAAGGGCTTCCCATGGATGGCCTGATGCTAGGGGTGACTGCTTGGCGGCAACAAAGGGCGGGCACCTGACCACCGAGAAGGGGCACTAGAGTGGATGAGAGGCATGGGAAGAAAGGGAAGATGTACTCATGACACTGTCCAAGAGTCACGGGCAGCCTAAAATGACGGTGCAAAAAGAAGGTCTTCCACTCCTGCCATTTTGTCATCCTGCTCCAAAGACCCAGAACTTGGAGTCCCACCACTAGTATGAGAAACTGGGGCCAAGGAGGTTTTCTACTGGCTGATTTAGAAAACCAGCCCTAATTTACAATGCTGTCTCTGTGGAAAAGTACGTTCCAAATTCCAAACAATCAACTGAAAAAAATCCAGGACACAATCCATTCATAATCTGCTATAGTTTACTTTATGTATAAGATAAGGTTAAAACATTTTATTGCCTTATAAAGAAAATATGCCCCAGCCCTCTCAGAAGGTTTGTATAAAACTAATTAGAAGCAGACCTGCCGCAATCACCAAAAGTAAGCAATTTTCGACATAGTCTTTACAATGTAATGTGCCAGAGAAACACATTTCCTTCTGTGCCACAGAATCTGATACACTGCCGCTCTCCAGTGTTTAAATGGAGGTCTGCCGCTTATGGGGGCAAATGTCATACACCTGCAGGGCTTCCAGAGTGGGCCTGCTGGAAGAATAAGAGGTGACCGTGTGGAAGTGACTCACAAGCCCTGGACATTCTTGGGTTCCTTTCCCCACTCACTGCCAAACACAGACAAAAGCATGGCCCAGGGCAAAAACAAAACCAGACACACACAAGAGGCAGCCAAGGAAGAATCCATCCCCGAGAGGTGAGACGCTCACTGGCTGCAGAGCCTGCTCACTGGCAGCAGGGAGGAGCTGGGAGCGCGCTGGCCTTCTGCCAGGGAATCACTCCACTCTGCCTAAAACTTACAAGGAAAAAAGAATTCACTGGTAGATGGGGAAGAGAGAAGGCATTTATTTCTAGGACTAGTGATAATATTAGCCTCACTCAGTCTACAGAAGGAGTTGAGACCTACTGATCCAAAGGCACCTTGGTCTGATAAAAGTGAGTCTGAGGGACTGTGAACAAGCTACCATCTCAGAGAACTAATGCATGAGAAGGGATGCAAAACTACAGAGCATTCTGCAGGTGATAAATTCTGAACAAAAGAGAAACCAGTACATGTCAAGGGTTACTAATGTCTAAGACACTATTCTGATGAAGATAAAAAGATGAGAGCACAGCTCTGGATAACAGTATTCCTGGGCTGGTGAGATGGCTCAGTGGTCTAAAGCACCTACTTAGAACAAGCTCAGCAAAGCACAGGGACCGTGGTTCAATCCCCCAGCACCACATGCCAGCCAGCCCCGCCCCCTGGTGGGCTGAGCTGGCCACACACACACACACACACACACACACAAATAAATAAATAAAATTAAAAAACAAAAAAACAAAACAGTATTCCTAATGCTAAGACTATGCAGCCTAAGCACATACAGTTTTAGAAAGAGGGGAAATGAAAGAAGTCCCATAGAAATGAAGTCTTACTGTTTCTAGTTCTTTCTGAGTCTCATCTTCCATTCTCCTAATATCTTCCATTGTCAAATCAATCCACTTGTCAATCCAACAAAAAAGCTGGCGATGGAAGTTTGTAAATATCCTTTTCTCTTGCTTGAAAAACAAAGAAGAAAAGTAGCATAAGATGGCAGACACCTAAGATCAATGATGTATTAACTCTGTATGTCTCAACCCATGACATTTACATATACTTCATTTGAAAAGACCACACTCCATGCATAATGGAAAGCTTGATTCCATCCTATTGTAATTTTGTACAGCAAAATGAAGACTTTTCTCTATGAAATAGGAAATAATCTTCCCTGATAAAGATGTAAAGATCTAGTAGAAACTAAAAAACTCTGGTGTGCACAATCTGATCTAACATACTTCTGTTGGACACAATCTATTTTTACCTTTTCTAAATGTCAACGAGCAAAGGGCAACTAGATTTTTTCTGCTATGAAAACTAATGTTGTCATTCTTCACCTCTTTGCATTTCAAAGGAGCAACATGAGGTGGAATATAGTAATGGGCTGAAAGAAAACAGCCCTGGGTTCTTTGGTATAAAGATGTTTTGCTAAAGTAACGACTGTACCACATACATACACACTCCATTAAGTTTCTGTGCTACATGTTACTGTCACTGTAATTCATATAACCACAGACACAGTGGCTTTAATTTCTAAATTATTTAAGTTATACTCAACTTTCCCACAAGAAAAAAAATCACACAAACAATAGCACTTTTGGACCATTTTCAAGTTTTTAACTTCTCCACAAACAGAAAGTACATAATCACACATGTGACTTCTATTTATCAGAATTGTACTGATACCCTATTACTATAATCCAAGAGGAATGAAGCCAGTATTCAAGTGCCTACTGTTCAATCCCTGGTTCCACCAAAAAAAAAAAAAAAAAAAAAAAAAAAAAAGAAAAAGATCCTGTATCATCTTCTTCTCCTGGCAAGCGCATGGTCCTGAGATCAATCCCAGGTACCACAAAAAATAAATACATAAATAAATAATAATAAAAATAAATAAATAAAAATAAAGTGCCTACCATGGGCCAAACACAAGCAGCGCCAAGAATAAGAAGGTTCCCAGCTCTTTAGGGTTTTCTTTATAAATGCTACAGCAGCTACAGTAGAAAAATTATAGTGGGGCCGGCCAAATAGCTCAGCTGATTAAAGTGCCTGCAACAGGTGCAGTGGCTAGGGGTTTGACACCCCGGCCTGCTGTGCTGGCTCCGCCCCTGGGGCATGCTGAAACTGCAATTGAGACTGGGCAGAGTGGTGTACACCTATAATCCCAGCTCTTGGGTGACTGTAAACAGGCAGATCACTATGAGTCTTATCTAGTAGTGAGACCCAGAACACCCTGTAGACCCTTCCCTAAAATACAAAAAAAAAAAAAAAAAAAAAAAAAGTTATAGTGAAATATAGACCCAACTAGTGGGAATCAAGAGACAGAATGAGGGCTCTTTTATAATGATAATGGAATAAACAGTCATATATGCAGGAAAAGTAAATATGTAGGAAACTTTCCATACTCCTTGTGTATTTATAATCACATGTATTTTTCTTGTTTTGTAGTGCTAGCGATTGAACCTGGGGACACATATATGCTGAAAAAGCACTCTAGCATAACCATATCCATTTATACAGCTGCAACTCTTTCTTCCTAGATCTGACTGCCACTGTTACTTTCATTTTAATAAAGACATTTAAAAAAAAAAAAAAAAGACAGTGAGAATGTAAAACCCAAGATCATGTCACCTTAGTTCAAAGTATACCCTTCTTCACTGAGAACCTATAAACAGGTGACTCTGTATGGCAAGGTCTTGTCACAGAGATGGGCGCACAGCCAAGGTACTGGCAAAGAGGTAAGGGAGGCCTTCGGTAGGCAGATACTGCCCTCTCCATCCAGCCAGGGCCAGGCCCGGGTCCCCTGGGGACACTGTACATGGAAAGGGCTCTTTATAGAAGTGCTGGGTCATCTATCCGCAAAGCACCATTAAGAAAAAACTGCTATAGACGTCCCCCAAAGGAAGCCCCTTGAAATCTCTTCTAGCATCAGACTCTACTATTCCTAGCAATAAAAAAAGCAAAAATGAACTATATAGGAACAATAATCTCCTAAGAGAGAAAAAAAGTAACAGAAAATTTCCCACTAGTATCCATCTCAAATCTTAACCCCAATTCAGAACACACTTTGACAGATCTTACCTTCTGGATGAAGTTTTCTACTTTGCTCTGCAGTCCCCACCACTTGAATTTGATGGTCACCAGCTTATAAGCACACATTTGCGGACAGTCAGGGTTGTTGGCCAGCTCCTTCTAGGGGAGTAAAACCAAAAAGAAATTGTGATTAAATATTTACGTTCTGATTAAAAGCAACTGCTATGTGACATCATCACACCCATAATGACGAAAACTAGAGGCGCATGTCTTTAATTCAGACATGGAAAAACTTGCCATCATTTTACCAAAAGCAGCAGTCTCCTGCTGCAAGCCCTCCTTGCACAGATCAATTTACTTCCTACCTTTCAAGTTTACAGGTGTGAGACTCTGACTCAAAGGATGGTATTCAGATTTCTTATTAAACATCAAATTCCATTCACATCTTATCGATAGTGAACCTTTAATATGTAAGAATTCTTCTAACATATAATCACACAGTGGATGTGGTGAATTAAAAATAAAAAAGACAGTGTCATCTATGTCTTCAAGTATCAGCAAGTAAGTGACACTATCGCTGAACTGAAGAATTGTCAGCGGAAGGGAAAATGGAATGTGTTATTACTTTTGTAGTAGTAGCAGTAAAAGTTATCTATAGTTAGCAGCAAATAAGGCAAATCCTATACAGACAACTTAATTTCCATAAATGCTTACCCCTCACGGTTTAAGTGGCAAAGGGGATCAAATCCAAGTCTTGTTCAGAAAATATTTTTTAAAAAAGACAAAAGAGGACTGGAGGGACCTTCCAGAGAAAAGACACTGCAAGCACAAAATATATCTGCAATTTACTTTCAGAAGATGACAAAAAAGACACAATTTGAAACTGGAATACCACCCAGTACCACATGCCATGCAGGTCCTGCCCCAGGAGCGCGGAGCCAGTGATAGAGTCCAGACACGGGCATGGTGGCACACGCCTTTCATCCCAGCACTGGGGAGGTGGAAAACAGGAGGATCACTACGAGTCCAAGCTGTGCAGTGAGACCCTGTACCAAATACATATATACAGAAAGAAAAGAAA